GCTCGTTCGTTCCTGACCCAGAGCATTTCCGAAGCGCTACACCTGCAGGTGACCTCGAGGCCAGACCGTGGGACTTCGTGTCCCGTGGCCTCCTCGAGGCTTCTCTTTCACAGGTGACCTCGAGGTCAGACCACAGGACTTYRTGTCCCGTGGCCTTCTCGAGGGTTCTCTTTYGCAGGTGCCCTCAAGGCCAGACCCTGGGACCTAGTGTTCCGGAGGTTTGCCGAGGCATCTGCCATCCCTGCGGTCGGTGCCCTCGAGGCCAGACCGTGGGCTTTTCTGGTCACAATCCTTGATGAGGCGTCTCTAGTCCTTGTGGCAGGAGCCCTCGAGACCCAGTGCAGGACTTGCTCTCCTGTAGCTGTCCAAAGGCTTTTCTCTTGCAGGTACCTGCAAGGCACGACTGAAGGAGTTGCTCACCCAGACATTCCGAAGGCATCTCCCATGGAAGTGGCCATAACTCCAGTCTCTGACATGGAGCAGAGATCCCCGAGCACGCCCAATCTGCTGTGGGTGGAGGAGGAGGAAGAAGACCCTACAGCTGTCTCAGCTCAGCAGCCTGGAGAGCTGGAGCAGTTCCAGCTGCTGCAGGAGGGTGAGTGACAGAGCTGGCCCACAGGGCTGGTGCCTGCAGCTAGCATGGGCCCATCCCGTCCCGTCCCGTGTCATCCTGTCCATCCTCATGGGACGTGCCCATGGACAGGATGGATGGAAGAGGGGCTGGGGCTGCCCCTCTGTGCTGCATCCCCTGGGCATCCCGGGGCTGTCCCTGCCAGGGGAGCGCAGGGCTGGGCTGTGTTCTCCAGTCTCTCCCGCAGCCCCTCAGCTCTGGCTGTGCTCTCTCTTTGCCAGATGCCGGCATGGACTGSACACGAGAGCAGGACCCCATCCGTGGCTGCTGGCGCTTTATCCGCCAGGTCCTCTGAGCCATCCCCACCTGCTCAGCCGAGCATCACCGTTGGAGCACACAATGGGATGTCTCYTTCTTCCCTGYYCTTCCTTCTCCTGCAGATCTTTCAGAAGCACATTAGCACTCTATGTAGAGACCTCAACCCCATGAAGACTGAGGGTGTAGCAAAGCCTCACCCCATGGCCACTCAGAGCCTGGCTTCACCTCCCAGTCCAGATCTTTTTGGAGAGAGAGTTGTCTCCAGCCCCAGTGAAGTAAGCAGTCTGTAGCCAGAGCTTGAGCCCCACAGGGARCGTGTGGGTCCTTGAGCTGTGTCTGATGGGCTCTCTCAGCCTCTGAGGCCGGCACAGTGTGGAGGGAATGGAAGCACTTCTTGAGGGAACTGAGGAAGTTGTTCCATTTGGCAGCTCTACAGCTCTCCCTGTGCGTTCTCCAGGTGCCAGCCTTCGTGAAGGACATGCACCAGACGCTCACGAACGGTGCACCTCCAGATGACATGGACTTCCTGTTCATGGACTTCCTGAGGCTGACGGAGGCGCATCCCGCTGATGTCGCGGTCACCCTCCTGCGCTGCGCCCCGTCATGTGACAGGTACAGGGACCACCTGCCTTGGGGCCTTAGGGCTGACCAGCCTTTAGGGCCCATCACCCTGCACAGCCAGTCCAGTGGGGCCTAAGAGACAGGCAGAGAGTTCCAGGACACAAYAGCTGCCCATTTCCAGCTCTGGCATGTCAGCTGCCCAGCCTACTGCCRTGCTCCCTTCCTGCACCCCAGGGCACCAGGGCCCTGTCACCCCCACAGCTGGCCAGGCCATGGGGCTGTGGCTGACAGCCTGCTGAGACAGAGCACTGCTTCCACAGAGCTGCTGCAACCATGTGGAGGACCATTGCCTCGTCGGGAACAACCGTGGACATGGTGCTGCCARCACTGATCTGTGTAATGGAGARCTGGCCAAAGCACAGCACGAGCACCTCCGATGGGGACAACACAGATGTCTTTGCCCTGGCTGTGAGTTTCTGGAACTGGCCTTTGCTCGCCCCCAGGTCACCTCTCCAGCAGCTGTCCATGCACCTTCCCCACTGCAGCTCCCTGCCTCAGGTGCTGGGCTGAAACCTGGCCTAGGGCACCAGGCCTGCTGCTCCCCCTGCATCTCCCCTGGCCTCTCCTGACACTCAGACCCTGCCACATGGACACCGCGGCACTGAGCGCTGTCTCAGGGTGGTTTGTCTTTTGCAGGCGAGCAAGGTCATTTGGGAGATTCTTCACCTGCCCTGGTGCCCAGAGCCATTTATAGTGCATTCCCCATGCCTCCTCTTGGCTCTGTTGTTCCAAGTGCTGTGCAGCACAGAAGAGGTGCCAGAGGAGGTCGATACCTTCTGGAAAGAATGCCTGGAGGACGACCGCCTTCCCACCAGCATCAGCAGGTGCTCCATCCCAGTCCT